TGGGCAGCAAGACCTCATCTCTACAATAAATCAAAAAATCAACCAGGCATGGTAGTGCATGCCTGTAATTCCAGCTACTCGGAAGACTGAGGCAGAAGGATCGCCGGAGCCCAGCAGGTCGAGGCTGCGGTGGCCGGGAGCGGCCACTGCACTTCAGTCTGGGCGACAGAGTGAGACTCCAACTCAAAAAAAACAAAAAATATAAAAACAACCTGGACTGATATTAAAAATACTGTAAGATTTACAGAGCTAAATAAAAAATGCAGGATGTTGAGTGAGTGTTACATGTCTGTAATTTCAGCTAATCAGGAGGCTGAGTCGGAAGGATCTCTTGAGACTGCAGTTTTAAGACTGCAGAAGTTTGAGGCTGCAGTGGGCTGTGATTGTGTCTGTGAATAGCCACTGCACTCTAGCATGGGCAACATAGTGAAAACCTGTCTCAAAAAAATACAAAGCATATGTAGTATATGTCCAAAAAAGGGCAATATACTTATTTTTGTAAACTGTCTCCAGATGAAATAATTATTATGTTGCTAATGGGGAGTGGACTTGAATGACTGGGAGATGAAGTGGAAGAATGGCTCTTTTATGATACGTTCTTTTTTTTTTTTTGAGTTGGAGTCTCACTCGGTCACACAGGCTGAAGTGCAGCGGCACACAGCCACCACAGCCTTGTCCTTCTGGGCACAGGTGATCCTTTTGTCTCAGCCTTCCAAGTAGCTGGAACTACAGGCGTGCACCACCATGCCTGGCTAATTTTTTGATTTGTTGTAGAAATGAGGTCTCGCCAAGTTGCCCATGCTGGTCTTGAACCCGTGGGCTCAGGCGATGCTCTCACCTCGGCCTCCGAAAGTGCTGAGATTATAGGCGTGAGCCACCATGCCCAGCCAATATGTTTTTGTACTTGAGTTTTTGAATCGAGTATATCATCTAGTCAACTTTAGACATTCTTCTACAGCCTACACTACTTTAAATGGCCTTTTTTTGTCTTTTATGTTTTAATAATTAATAGTTCAAGAAAGCTTTTCAGCATTGAAAGAAAATAGCATTGTGAATTTATGGTTTATTTAGCTTTAAAGTACTATTTTAAAATTAGTCATCTACTTAAAAGCATGTGGGAGCAACTGAAACAATGAACACTAAAGGGTTCAAGATCCTAGAGAGGAGAAACTTAAGGTAGATGAATTGATCCTTGCAGCCAATTTTTTCCTGCTAGCATGAGCCTGCTCTGAGCGTAAGGTAAGCAAGGCTGCTACTAAAGAACAGCAACTGAGTGGACGCAGTGTCTCACGCCT